CATTGTAATAGCTCTGGGTACAAAAGGTTTTATGTTCTGATGTGAGGTCATATACAGTGCTAGGAATGTGTGGATGAACTCTGCTTACATTCTTGCTCCCTGGTAGTTTGTTGTTCACACAGCAGCTAAAGGCATACTTTGAAATGTCACAGATATGCTGGTTCCTCTAAATGAAACATGCTGGATGTTTGTGTGTGTTTCTCTGAGAAGGACATTGCTTTTTTCCTCTTCTGTATTTATTTTATTGTCTGGCACAGTACAGGAACTTGTGTCTGCAATTTGGTTAGTTATTTATTAACCACCTACTACTGTAATAGAGTTAACACATAGTAGTAATAAAGTGTTCAGTGCTAAATACTTTGCATGGGCTCACTTGTTTCATCTTCATGATCATTATTATTCTCATTTTACAAAAAAACAAACTGAGGCACAGAGACATGAAGTAAACTGCCTAAGTTCTCACAGGTTAAGGGATAGGAGGAGTCCAGATCCAGACAGAGCCCACATTCTCAAACATTCTACGTGATTGGTACAGGGAGTACAAAGATAAATAAATCACAGTCCTTGTCTTCAAAGTGCTTATTTAGTAAGAGGGAACCTAACATACTTTCTATAAAATAGTAAATGCTAGTAATGATGAGATATTTCTGAAGTGTGCACTTTTTCTGAACTCTTTGTAATCATCCCTTTATATGTTGTTTATTTCTCACAAGAAACCTCTGTTTTTGTTCAATTAGGAAATAAGGATAATTTTGTCTAATGTGAGAAAGAACAAATCAGCCCTTACTCTGTCAGTTCTTGTCTGGTTTTGAAAAGAGGCCACTAACAAACAGAACAGTGTCCTATTGAATATAAAACACCTATGGAATGCTAGTATTGGACAAAGCCACTCTTTGACTACAACAGAGCAAGACAAAAATAAATAGCCTCCATGATCTTGTTGGAGCATAGACAAAAACAAGAACATTGTCCAAACAACAAAAATGTCCCATCAGTCCCATCATCTACCTCTCTCAGCTAAGATAATGTAAGTGCTTCACTTGATCAGTTTCAGCTTTAGCTTCACTTTGTTCCTCCTACTTTATAGACAAAAATCATTTAACATTTCATATCTTAGATTTTCACAGATTCTAATCCAGCCATATCACACTTCTTTGAATTCTCCTAAAAACACTCAGAAAAGAAGCCCCTTCTAGCATCTTCCATCTGCGATTTCCACAGTCTTATCTTCTTCACTGCAATGAATTAATAAACTCAACTTTGCTGCATTTCAGATGTGCTCCTATTGGTCTTTGTATGGAGTCTGTTAACAGAAAAGAAGGATCACCAAGGATCAGCTGAGACCTTTGATGTTGGAGTAAGACACTAGACTTAGTAACAATTTGCCTGTTGGGGGCCCTTGGGAATCTCTACATGTTCAACTGTTCAAACAGACCATGGAAGGGAGGCAGGTTTTGCTCCGGTCAGAACTCTAGTTAACATTTTATTGTGACTCTTTAGCATTTGTTTATTTTATTTCGTGGACTTATTTAGGCATAGGTTCTCTTGGAACCTTTTGGTTATCTGATTTATATTGTCTTGATGAAATTATTTTCTGGCCTTGAAGTATTCACTTATGTGGTTTTACCTGTGTGACATACTGTCTATAGGAGGAAACATCTATAAGGAGAAAATGGTTCCAGATTGAAAAGTCTATCTTTCAGTCAGTGCCAAGAAAGGAGGAGTTCCTGGGGCACTAGGGTGGGTGTTAAGTATTATTAGAACAATGATAAATATAGCTAAATCACTCTTAGTATTAATAAGTGTTTATTATATGAACTCCTTTTAAAGTTTATTTTTCCTAAATTATCTAAGATGTTGTGTATCTAATTGACAGCTGTTAGAAAATACCACTAGACACTAGTGTTCTTTAGATAGATATTGCCTATGGCCACCATTTCAAAATCTTGTTAAGACTACTCCCTTGGTGTTGGAAGAAATGATTTTTTTTTTCAGTTTAGATCAGGGAATTTTGTCTGGCCTCTGATCAATATCACTTAGCTTTTTCCCGAGTTCCATAGATAGAAGATTGTACAAGCATCAACCTTACTGACGTCTGGAATTCTCAAGGGGTCTTCTTAAACTAAAATTGTACCTCTTTCAGAACAAACACTTGGTTCCTCCATGTTTTCATGATATAATGCACACTTACCCTCTGACTGGTAAAACTTTCCAGAGACAATTTAGAATTGTAGTGACTAATGTTGGGGAGTAGGGGTAGGGACTTGATATTTGCAAAACTATAAAATGGGTACTATTTAAACAGTGAGGCCCTGAGGACATGGAAGACTGCTTTTTTTAGGGAGGACAGAGAAAATACTTTGCAAATTATTTATTAAAAGAATCACTCTGGCAGCTTTACCAAGAATAGAATGAAGGAACACAGGATTAAGGACGCTTGAATTATGCTGGTAGAGGAGGATTGTAAGATTATAAATAATTGTAATTAATAATGATGCCTAATATTTTTCTGCTAGAGTTACAAAATGGGAAAAGGAAAGCAAATTCCTAAGACAGAAAGTGAATGGCAGCATGGTTGGAGAGAATGAGGGCAATGGAGTAGCTCTGAGGCTGAATTCTGGGATGGTGGTACTGGCAACTACAATATGAAATTAAGATAAGTTTGGGATCAAAAATGGAAGATAATGGATTTTATTACTTTGACCAAATCAAGATGTAGGTGTTGAGTCAATATAGACCATAAATTACTCTGGTCTCCATATAGGCAAAGATCCAAGTTATCTTCACAAGTCTCAAGGAAAAATACAAGGGTCTATTCTTTTGGGAATGTTAGGCAAAACCCCCCCGCAGGCCATTAGCCTGTAATGTAAGCATACTCTTAACTAGAAAACATTTATTATTAACTGAAATGATTAAAAAGAAATGAAACAACAAAGGAAACTCAGGAAATCAAAGCCATTTGGTTTGGTAGGGACTTCCCATCATATCATATACACATAAAGCAAAGGCCTCCTTACACCATGACTAAAACAGACAAATGCCTCATTGTGGGTAATCAGATAGCTTCATTATTTTGCTTTAACGTGAAGCCTGTAGGCCCTGGCTATTCGTACTGATGGAGTTGAGCTGACTGACCTTCTCCTGGTCTGAGTGCTGCTGTCACATTTAGGGATTGTTCTTTGCTCAAATAAACTCTTAATTTATCTAAAGCTTTTCTTCAAACAGGTGTGATCAAAACTTGAGCAAAGTCTCACATAATAATAGTGGCAAAAACCTGGGAGATAGGATTTGTAAATTCCTTTTAGAAAGGTGGTGTAGCATAAGCATGGCTATAGAGCTAAACTGCCGAAATTTAAATTTCTTCTGTTTCTGACTGAACTGACTCTGAATTATATCTTTTGACTCTTAATTTTTTTTAACCTGAAAATTTTTCAACTGGAACTTCTCTGGAAAGGTTGTTGTGGAGCAAGTTTTTTTTTTTTTTTTAATTTTAATTCTGTTTTGTGGTACTGGGGTGGCACATGAGCTTTCTTAGGCAGGCACTTTACCACTTGAGCCACATCCTTTAGCCTTTTTTTTTTTTGCTTTAGTTAATTTTCAGGTAAGGTCCCCCATTTTTAACCTGTAAGCCTCAGGCTCTATCCTCCTATTTATGGACTCCTGAGTAGCTGGGATTAATGTGCAAAACACCACACATGGCTTATTATTTGAGATGGGGTCTCCTTAATTTTTTGCAAGGGCTGGCCTCAAATAGAGATCCTCTCAATCTCTGCCTTCCAAGTAGATCGGATTCCAGGCATGAGCCACTGTGACTGGGCAAGCAGGAGCATTCCTAGTTTGGAGCCCATGGGATTTCAGAGCATCTGTGAACTTTGTACTAAAAAAATTAGTTTTGTCTGATAGTCATTGTATGTGTTAGCAATCCTTACAGCTTTGTTTCGTATAGAAATTAGACCTTGTTATATCACACTACAGTGTGTGTAGATATCATGAAATATTGTGATCACCACTACTTCAAAACTACCAAATTTATTATAACTGCTTATACATTATATGTTATTGCAGAATTTATCTATATGCTCCATGCCACTTAGTTGGCCAAGACTCCTTTAATTCTGTACCTTTTTGTCGGATCGTAATCAACTCTATGACATCTAAATGTTCCTACGTTTCGCTCATCTACAGTGCTGTCCAGTATCCACAAGACACAGATATTTGCTGACCAACATGAGAAAAGAGGTGAATTGTTTCAATTTTGGTAATGATATTTTATTATAATTGACTCCTTGGTAATCTTATATAATTTAGCCCATTTTAAAATACGACTTTAAGAGTCTATAGGTTGCATAGATTCTCTAAAATATTCATGGCACAAGTGAATAATCTTGGAGGTAGAGGAATAAATGTGTACACAAGACACATTAAAATGGCACCTGGTTCATAACAGATGTTCCGTAAACAGTCTGCAACTAGTCTTAAAATATCCAGAGGACAGAATTATGTTTTCCTTGCATTCAAGCAGCTCCAATAGTACTGTGTACACTGGTACTCCATAAATACGGAATGAATAGGAGTCTAGGAAGGCACCTGGGGCCCTTTAGTTGGGGGGCGGAAAAAAGCACTGTGAAGTTGTGGGGCGATTTCTATGCGTCCAGGGGCATCTGCGGTTCAAGAGGTCGGGGCGAGGGTGGAGGGCACAGCCGCGTCCTTAATTATGTCCCAATGCGAATGGAGATAGCCCAGGTAGCGGGGCCAGGTTCTTGGTCTTCATTTCTCACTTCCATCAGTCAAGAAGACAATCAGGTCTGATTAGGGCTCCAGGTAGAGCGTTGGACAAAGAGCCACTCCGCGTTTTGCAGGAACTAGTAAAGGTTCCAAGAAGCGCACTTCAGACTTGGGTCAGTAACGGCCTCCCGCGCGCAGGTCTCGCGGAACACTCGGGCCGAAGACACGGCGCGCCGCACGGAGCCGCGGCCCTGGCCACGCCCACTTCCTGCCCTATCCCGCGCCTTTCCAGGTCCGTCTCCCGGTGAACCGGATGCGCTGTCAGTCTCCTTCTCCGCGTTCTTAACCTCCACCCCGCTCCCTCGAGAAGCCGCTGGCACCCCGAGGGCTCGGCCAGGAGGCTCCTGGCGGCTGGCCTGACTGGCGTGGAGCGCGGTAGGAGCTGGGCGCACACGGCTACCGTGCGTGGAGGAGACACAGCCCTGTGGCGATGGGTGCCAGGGCCGCTCCTTCACGCCGGAGACAGGCGGGGCGGCGGCTGCGGTACCTGCCCACGGGGAGCTTTTCCTTTCTCCTCCTCCTGCTTCTCCTCTGCATCCAGCTCGGAGGAGGACAGAAGAAAAAGGAGGTAGACTGAATCCCGTTGGTTTGCTCGGGTGGGCCGGGGCAGGCTGGGGCTGGCCGCGTTGCTAGGAAGCCCCGCCGCGTTGCTAGGTAGCGGGCGGCCGGGCGTGGGTGGCTGCTGGGCGGGTCATTTGGGGTTTCTTGCCTTGATGTCGCGTGCAACCTGCCTTGGAAAACCCGGAAGCCTTAGCTTAGTTGAGACTGAGCACACGCGTCTTTCAGACCCTAAGCGCTGAGAGGACTGAGCCTCAGGGAACTGTGTCATTAAAAGGGTTGTGACCTTTAGAGCTGTTTACAAACCTGCAGGAACCACTGGCCCTTATTTTCATAGTCTGCTGTCTTCCTTACCCCTATTAAGAGGCAACAGAGCATATTGAGAGTGTTTTAAATTATTATGCGTTCATACCCTTTAAAATTGCGTATTTTTACGTCTGACTCATGTAATTGTGAAGATAACCTATGCTATCAAATTTAGGATCACCTGATCTCCATGTTGGCCATCATTAACTTTGAGGAAGGTGAGATTTGAACTGGCTGTATTTAAAGGAGTTGTAGGATTATTTGTGAATTCATTTTCCTGGTGAAATAATACAAGTACACGTGGCTGGTAATCTGGCTCAGGTTCAGGGTATTACCAGAGTTTTCTTAACAGCTGGATAGAGTGAAACAGCACTCTTACATGTGAAGTAGTTCTCATTCTCTTTGCTCCTTGCTTGAAACTGTTCAGTATTAACTTTTTTTTTTTTTAAATTTTAGCATGAAAGTAGGACATACAAAATTCTTTAAGTTCTGAGAAGGGATTTAGAGAAGCACTACTCTTAAGTTTTCATTTATAGATATAAATTAAAGATTTATTTTCTAACACGTTGTGTGTCATATTCTAAGACTTTTACATTTTATAGTTGTTCATAAGAAAGATAGGCAGTTGAGGAGTAAGCAGGTTTTTTTGTTGAGTTACTAGAGCAGAGGGCAGTATAAAATGTTGAGGAACATCATAGAAGTTCTGATGGTTTATGGCCTAAGAAGGCACCATGACCATTCTAACTTTCAATTAAAGGGAATTCTTAGCATCCTGCTGTCTCCATTTGTAAAACTATTTTAATATGAGAAATCGTTAATTCCTTGGTGTAAGTAAATTTAAATTGCAATATTTTTTTTCCATTTACATACTTTTATAAAACATTTTTGTTTGTTTTAGGGTACTAAGGATTTAAACTCAGATTTCTAGGCAGGCGCTCTACTACTTGAGACACTCCACCAGCCCAAAAGATATTTTTAAAGTGAAAATTAGGGAGAATATTCTTGAAGATTGAAAAAGGGTTCTTCCAAAATTACTATATTTCTCGTAAATAGGCGAACATAATATTAGTATATGCTGGTGTTAACAGTGCATGTGTTTTACCTAAGGAAAAAAGAGCACATTAATTATTTTAACAGTTGAAGTTTTGATAACAAGCAGGCATATCACTGAAATATAGGACAGTTCTATATCTGGCACTGTGTTTACAATCTGATTACTACAATTCTGGAAGAAAAACACACTGTGTTGGAAATAAGGAGAAATGGATGCTCACTAATGTACTTCTCTAGAGGTAGTTTCAGGGTTGCTTTGACCTGGGTAGTTTCTTTCTTTCTTGCTGACTTAAGAACATGGTAATTGTGGACTCCATTGAGCGGCAGTTGGAACTTGATTTGCCAGAATAAATATTAACGTGAATTAGGGTAGTTAACTTGGAATGAACAACATTTTTCCTTCTTTCTGGGAAAGGCATATTGAATTTTAAAGTTGATCCTAGAATCAAGAATTGACATTACTTGCTTTTAAGAAAGTAATGGTGATAGTAAATGTATTTCCCCGTCCTGCTCCCGATAAGCTCATGTGTTGGGCTAGGTCCACAGTTGGTGGTGCTGTTTTGGGAGGTTCTAGAAACTTTAGGAGATGGGGCCTCCACAGAGGAAGCAGTTCACTAGGGGCACTTTTATAGGTGATACCTGATTTCTAGTTCCTTCCTGAATGCCGGCTTTCTGTTTGTCTTAGGTGAATAGCCTCTTTCTCTACATGCTCCTGCTGCCATGATGTTCTGCCCAAAGAATATAGGACCCAGTGACCTCTGAAACCATGAGCTGAAATAGTCTTTTCTTTCCTATGTTGTTTCTCTTGGGCATTTTGTCACAGCAATGAGAAAAGTAACTAATACAGTTAACATCATGGATTTTTGAGTCAGACAGATGGCCCATTGCAGCTCAATCTCTATCAAATTCTATGACACCAGCCCAACCACTTAGCTTCCCTGAATATCAGTCTACTTGGTTAAAAATATAGTCGTAATATTTATATCTCAGGACAGTTGTTGGGATTAAATACAGTTGTGTATATAAAATGTCCAGTGCAATGCCTAGAACATAAAAAATGATCAGTAAGTACTAGCTATTATGCGTTCCTCATTTAAATGAAAGCAATAGACTGTATGAAAAGATTTGGAAATGCAAGATTTTTAAAAATTGTTTTTCTTAAACTTTATAAAAATAATAATTAGTTTGGCCTTTGGAATAAATTAGCTGTTTCCAAAATCTTAGGTTTGAGAATTGCCTAGAAAGGGATTTTGCATCATAAAATAATTGGTCATCTTTCATGGATTTGTGTGTATGTATGTAGTATTATACATATATGTGTATGTTTATATATGTGTTTCCTCACGAAGATGTTTTCATTCTTTAAAAATAGTTTTGTTATATTTTCTGTTTAAGAATATACGTTAGAAAAATAACTGAATAGGCAAAGAAAATTGACAATTTTTATTGTCACGTTCCCTTAGTTACATTGAATACAGTCGTTAAAAACAAATGTTTGTCTCCTTTTTCATTTTAAATGATGTGAGATTATGGGAGACTTTGATTGCTTTATATTTATTTGCATATCTAATGCATTTTGCTTTTTTTGTGTTTATATTTTTTTTTGGTGTTGGAGTTTGAACTCAGGGCCTTGTACTTGCTGGGCAGGTGCTCTGCTGCTTGAGCCACACCTCCAGCCCTAACACTTTGGTTTCCTTTTGTCAATTTCTCTGTTTTTTACATCATTAGTATTTGTTATTTAATAATCTTCATCTAGAATTGCTTTAATTTATAATGACCTCTTCTGATAATGTAAAAATATTCTAAATTCTTTAATGATTTTCAGTAGACTTACTGACTTTGCCAATCATCAAAAGCAGCTTTTGTAATTATTTATCCTATTTGCAAAGAATGTGAATAGTTGATGGGCTGTGATATGTAGGTAACAATGAATATGGAACATCAAAAAACTGAGTGGCTCCTAAACATTTCCTAAGAGAGGAATAAAATATTGCCTAAAAGGAACACACTTCAATTTCCTTTAACATATTTCTGTAGGTCTTTAATGTTTTTAAGCACATTTTACACTGAGATGTATGATATCCATTTACTTTTAGTGGCACAACTGTAAAAGATAGATTACTATCTTAGTAAGTGATCTAAAAGGGAGAGTGTGGAGGTAAGCAGTGGATTTACATTTAAGCCAAGTACTTAAGAGGAAGAAACAGTTCACAAATTTTGAGAAATATATAGTAATTTTACTTTGATAAGTAACATACATAACACAGATGAGGCTGATGTTTCATTTGGGTTAGATCATCTTTATGATAATCCCTTGAAGTGTGATTGAAAATGACAGATCTTACCTAGAATAGGCAAAACTGCCTGTTCAGCATGCCCCAGTTTCATGGATTATGGCAGAAGACATGGGATTCCTGTGTCATAGCATTCCATAAATGATTCCTCTGTCACACAATCCTATGACTTTATTACATGAGTTTACTCACAGTGATAGAATTACCCAAGAATCAACATTTACAGTGGTTCCTTGAGCTTTAGTTGGTGCAGGGTAGGCTGAAGAGGGCTAGATGATGCGCACACATGTAGTGAGTTGCTTTGCACGAGAGGGACCTTTAGCTTAGGAACCCAAATATTTTTAAATGGGCAGTAAACTAAAAATTAATCAAACTTGCTTTCTTTACTGAAGGAGGACTCTTATCTTCTGTAGCTATTATGCCCTACTAGTATCTTTGAAAGAATAATTTGAAACTGTCTACTTCCACTCATAGATTGTGTAGAAACTCTTGGGGAATTGTTCCCCTGTGTAACAGATGGGAACTTTGTCAAAATTGAATATTTTGAGGTTATTATCTTGCACATACATCACTAGCATGTGCAATCCCATATGTGTGGTATGTTATATGTAGGCACAGATAAAGGAGTGGAAGCATGTAAACTTTTGCTACATCTACTTTTTCATCCTTTCTAGCTCTAAATAATCAATGATTTTGTTTGTGAATTTGATCTGTTATGCTTGTGACTGATGTTAATTAATTTGGCAATTGAGCCATAAGAACCCTTGGAGCTTCAGGGTAATCCTACCAAGGTAGAAAATTTACCTTTGGTTAAGTGTAGGTGTAATGTATTCTCTGGTTAGAAAATGGGTAGATGATGAAAAAAATGTATTATTTGTTGTTTATATAATATGTTTGTGTGTAAATGAACACACATGCACCCACATACCAGCACTTGTGTACTAAATGGATAATATTTCTGCTAGTCTGTTTATTTTATTTGGCAAGATTTCTACAGCTTCTCAAACTAAGCTTAGTTTTCTTTGTGCATCTGATCCATCTATTTTCTCCTTGCTATTAACAGTACTGTTTTATTGGAAAAAAATTTTAATATTCAAGAACTTCATTTTTTTAATCTAATCACCTGCCAGTATTTTATATCTTTATAGTTTGAAAATTGGGAGCAACATGGGTTCTTGATGTCATGACTTAGTTAGCCTTATAATTGTTCTACTCTGATTCCAGAGTAGAACAGTTATGTGAATTCATAGACTTTCTTACTCTTTAGGACATTTCAAATTGGATTTTTGATTTTTTATATCTAAAAGCATTTTAGCGGTGATCTTATCAATTTAAGGGTTTTGTACATGCCTGTACA